TGACAGACTGCAATATCATGATTGAAGATGAACAAATTGAACAGGTGAAAGAGTTTGTGTATCTGGGGTCAAAGTTTACAAGAGATAGAAAGTGTGAGAGTTATATCGAAAGAAGAGTGAATGCAGGAATCATGGTGAATGGAGCTTTGCACTCCTTTATGAACAGTCGGAAAGTGTCTAACAAGGCTCGTTTGGCTGTGCATGAGGGGTTGTTGGTTCCGACACTCATGTACGGAAGTGAAAGTTGGGTATGGCAGAAGAAACATGAAAGTAGAATAAATGCAGTTGAGATGAGAGTATTAAGAAGTATGATAGGAGTTAAACTGAGTGATAGGATAAGAAATAGTGAGATAAGGAAACGTTGTGGTCTGAAAGAAGATGTAGTGACAAAAATTGAGAAAGGTATGCTAAGATGGTTTGGCCACATCGAGAGAATGAATGAAGAACGATTGACGAAAAAAGTGTATAAGGCGAGTGTGAATGGAGGTGCTGGAAGGGGTAGACCTAGGCGGACTTTTCTAGACCAAATTAGGGACGTCTTGAAAAAGGGCCAGGTTAAGAGTACCCTAAACCGTAGAGCATGTATGAAGGGAATAATGAAAGTAGACGAAGCAAGACAAGTGTGTAAGGATCGTAGCAAGTGGAAAGAAGTGGTCTCTGCCTACCCCTACGGAAAAGAGGCGTGATTATATGTATGTATGTATGCCACGCTTGGCAAGCGGGATGGCAACCGCAGTCTTTTATTTTTATTCTCTTCTGTCATCGGAATGATACTATTGCTCATCTGCTGGTTCAGTTTCCCTCAGTCGCCTCTTACTACTCATACGGAACGCTATGGGGTGGAGCAAATACTTACGTCACCACTATACGGTCGCCACTTACGGTAGCTTTGCATTTTATGATTTTATAGCAAATTATATATTACATTGATAGTCTTGTGAACTCCCTTAAGAGACAACTAAATAAGTTAATAACGTTAACCATCTGGTTAATATAGGGTGGTCTCCACCCTTTCTTTGTCGATTCATCGCGGATTCAAACTAAATTGTTTTCATAGTCTATTGTTATGACTGTACGTATGACGAACGACTGCAAACAAAGGACATAGGAGTGAAATAAGTCTTTCCATCCGATTATCATGTAGGTGTTTCAAAGCAAGACTTATATTTGTTATATACTAAATAGACTTATATTAATAAATTTAAAAGTGCTCTTTCTACGATGTGTTTATGGTTTAGCTGTGGTTCCATTTTATAATGCTAGAGTGCGCTCTCCTATATTTCATTATCTTTGTACTATATTATTTAAATAGTAGATAGAGTTAATAGAGTTTAGATAGTAGAGAGTTAACAGAGTTCATGCTGACAGATCATGTAAAGATGAATTAACCTATCACTCACTGCGCCCGCCATAACAAAAAACAGCTTTGTACCGAGGCGTCCGTCGTCACCTCAGCTGGCGGCACTTGTTTTAAATATTTATGTTTCTCACGACCTTTCATTTATGTTTAAAGAGGTTTTAGTTACAGTTATTTAAAGCCGATAAGATTTTCGATAAGTAGAAACAATAACCATAACATATAAATGTTTATGTTATTTTGTACAGCTCTTTGTTTCTAACGGATCTTGATAAAGTGTACTTACTGACGATAAATTTTATATTATGAATGAAATATCGTAAGTTTTTATTTTATTTTTATGTCCTTACAATCAATACAACATATTCTTCCTAAATGAACCGAAATTATGCATGTAATAATTATAATAATTCTACTTTTTCACTTGCAAACATTTGCTAAAAATTCGACAATAGACAGTTTGCGCGCGCTTACTAAACTCATTTTCAAAACCTTTTTGTGTACATATTTTATATCGTCTTTCTTTATTTTTCTTATAAAATCATATAGATATAAAATTTAGCAATTACTAGTAAAAGTATTTACTATGGTAGTCCAATAAGCAATATACTATTATTATCTTAATAGAATCTTATTAGAAATCTTGACCGTTGCGAATTGTTCGCGCAGAGGATTTTATTTCTACTTTTTTATCAATTGAAACATAAAAAGTTACTGTTGTTGTAACTTAAATCATTCAAAAACGTAAAGTAAAGATAAATAACATTACTTACAGTTTTTTGAAAGAAAATCCAACTAAAATCACAATCACAAAACTTCAACGATTACGTAACCAACCTCACCGGCACGCAAACGCGAATGGCTGTTATATTTGATGATGTCTATGTAACCGAATGAATATAATGCTACAGAATATTCTTTAGTTCGTTCAGAATCGAATGAAATAGTGTTCAATCGAAAATATACTGTATTTTTATATCAATTAATGACGAAAATAGCAGCACGTAATGCGGACATGTATACTTGTCCTCGGTACTTAGCGCTCACAAAACTTGGACCTGTCAACATGTCCACGGTATCTTAGGGGTTAAAATAAACGTTACATAATAGGTGTTAAAATCTTACTCAGTTTTTTTTTAAGTTTAATTCCTAATCTAATAATATAAAGCTTGGAGCGCTTTACCTTCTTAGCCTTCATAACCACCTACCATCAGGTGTGATAGCAGTTAAGCACTAGCTTAGAATGGCTAAAAAGACAGAAAGACATCATACTTTATGAGGTAATATGACTCTCCTTTCATGCCACGGACTCCACCAACTTTGTGAATGACTTTTACCAACATTCTTATGTTGCTAAAAGTCATTGCAACCACTGTTTTATTTCAGTTTTAAAAGCATTGATAGCAGAATTATTATTTATTTTATTTTTAATTATTTTTGAAATTTGCAATTTGGAATATTTATTTTAAAAATAAGCATGAGCTTTAAATTTGCTGTTTAAATGTCGAAAGTAAATATGAACAAAATTTAAAAAATTAACAAATCTTAGCCTCGTAGCGATTCTGTAAGAATTTTCCCTACCCCATTTCACCCCGAGTCGTAAGAGACAACAGGGGGAAATAAATTAGAAGATTAGCAGCATCTTGCTAATAAGCTAATAAAAATGCGGTTGGCAACTATGGCAAATATCGCCCCTATGACAAAATCTATAGAGAATGTTCACGAGTGGAATTTAACAGGCTGTAACGGTAACGGTTTTAACAGACTTTATATAAAATAGAACAGGATAGAAATAGATCTTTTATAGGGCGTGTGTTTATGACTCATTGGTTACTTTTAGATTTAACCCTCGGTTAGTCGCGCTTTTTTTGTAACGTCGTTCGTCGCGTGGGGTTAAAATAAATTAGTTAAAAATACATAAATTTATATATTTACCTACATTATTTTATATTTTAGTCTTATTTGATTCAATATCAATAAAATAAAATCAAAAAAATCATTTAGTTATTTATATATTTATAGCTTTAACTTACATACTAGAAATAGGAATTTCTCTCCATGAGATCACTAGGTAATTAACCCTAGATTACTAACCTTATTTTACAACGCTTATTACTAACCTTCGTCGTTTCGGCTACGCCGTACAAAAGGGAGGCTTTTAAAGATTTATGGAATAAAATATTTATATGTGTTTTTCTTATTTATTACACTAATCATTTGTTAACATGTTTATAAGTTTTTTATCTACTAAAATCACATTTTAATTACTTTGACACTCTTTTAATTCAGACCTGAGTTTTTACTCATTTGAACATAACATTTTTTTTAAATGCTTAATTCTTATGAACTAAAAGAAACAGACACTTAAAAAAGTATTAAAATATTAAAATTAAGTAATAAAATCAACAAAAGAAAGAAACAGTTTAGAAAAAAAGTATTAATTAATACACTTGTGACAAATGTCAAGTTTATGTTCGCCACACAAGGATTTGTTGCGCTTGGTGCAACAATTCTTTGTCATTATTCGCTTTGCGGAGGGGCAAATTGCACAATTTTTTCTTTTTTTTGGCAATAGTAAGACTAACTGTATCTTTTCTTTGATCAGTCTCATGTGTAGAAGTAGAACTACTGGTTCCTGGCATATTCAAAATCGCTGTTATATAGTCCCGCAGTCCCGTTTGAAGTGTCGGAATTTGTAATCTTTTTTTGCATGTGTGGCTCGACTAATTTTTGATGCTACTCCGCCCTTAGTTTGATTGTAAAACTCAACCATCGTGGGTTTTTTGGTTAACTCATCAATTGTCCCTACCTTATCACAAGTTGACAGTAGGAATATTGCCTTTTGGGGCTTTATACTTGCCTGGATGTCTTCGGTTAAAGGTGGTTGTTCTATCACAGAAAAATTTCTTCCTTACCATCTGTTTCATAAGCCGGATCAGCCTCAAGGTGGTCTTCTATCTCACTCTTAGAGCAGTTTTCTTCGTCACTATTATCATCTAATAACAGCTGACTAATAGTATCTAAAATAAAAATATATTCAAATATAAAAATAATGTAAGTTCTTATTTTAATGTAGGCAAATTAAGTACAAAGTTTACAAAACACCGAAATAATTATAACACCAAAAAAAAATAATTAAAAATGACTTTGAAAGAATAACGTTAATACTAACCTTCGTCGATTCGACGATTCATGGTGGCTGGAATGGCGCACACAGGGCCCCTACACAAAAAACACACTCGTGTGTCGCGGGAGCCTTGGGTCAACTGAGATTAGCCGGAATCTGCAATGCTTACGACGACGCACTCAAAATTTATACCACTTTTTTTGAGTCCGCGTCGTCGTTTCGACGAAGGTTAGTGATCTAGGGTTAAAATTAAAAAAAAATCAACGGAAATTAAAATCTATTATAAAAACTTAAGTATTCCAGATGAAAAGGAAATTGTATATCTTTTACTGTAAAATTTGGTACACTTAATCACGAAAATGTATAAACTTTGACATACTGAAAAACTTAATTAATTTTCAATATAAACACATTCAGTACAAATGTTGCGCTTACAAAACTGATAAATAGATTTAAATTTCGTGTCTGTTCTTCGAGGACAATGAATACAGTATCGCTTTCTCATTGGCACTACGTTTACTTCAGGTTGAATATCCTGAAGTGGTGGTACAAATCTTCTTCAACTGTCTGTCTCAAATCACGCGGCAAATTCGTAATACTTGCCCTCGACTGTAGTTTCTCTCTCCTTTTTGCTACGTTAAAGTTACTGGACGAAATATTTATCAATGGTTCTTCATCACAATCACTGAACGCAGATTCGAGAGCTTCCATAGATTCGTTCACCAATCCCAAACCCAAGTGCTCTTCGTTTGATATTTCCGAAGATTCGTCATAATTCGAAAATACTTGATCGTCACATTCTTGTTCTGAGTCAGTATCATGCTCACTCATTTTATCAGGAAACCATCATCACCACTATCGTGGACGTCATCGGCATCTTCTTCTAGCCAGCTCAATATGCGTCTTTGCTGCTGTTCGTCAAATTTTTTTTTTTATAAAAAGATGATAAAGGTAATCTAAAACTGAAAACAAACACAATATAATACAATAAAATTAAAGTTCATTAATTATCAACGAAATTATAATATAAAAAACAAAAAAGGAGTTGTATTATGAATATTGCATAATAATAGGTTATGAAAATTTTACTTTCGCGGTTCGTCGCGTAGGGTCTTTCAGAGCCCGTGCGCACACAAACATGTCTGTAAAACATAGTGCTTGTGCGCGAACTGAAGTTAGCCGTAATATGCGCCAGTTGTAATTCAATTCAGGAAGGGACCGAAGGGGCAGAGTCACTACGATTATTTTGAATATAGGTTCTTATTGATTTTGTGATACCTGGGCTTTGAAAGACCCCACGCGATGACCCGAAGGTTAAACATACCGCTAATTGTATTATTCTAAGGATCATTAATTTTCCATTAATTTTTCGTCCAACCAATTCAGATGAGCTTCTCGTACATTAAATATTCCAGTAGTACTCGACATTGAATTCAATTTAGTTAACCGTAGAATTTCAAGCAGGTGTAAGCACTCTGGCAACTTTTTATTAGAATTTGCGTGTTATAATATTATGTTAACTTGTAAAATAAGGTCATGCTTGTTTATGAATATTTTCATAACTAAAGTACATTGAAATAACCTTCTCAGTTTACCACCAGGTTCCCACAAAAATGCCTCCTTAATTTAAAAGTATTATCGCAAAAATATTCATATATTCTTGAAGTTGATAACAACAACGGGAAATGATAAATAAAATGAGCTATATAATTTTTTTGTCAATTTAGGAAGAATTATCGGAGAAGCTTTCCTTCTCTTTATCAGTTTATAACCAGTGATGAAGCTTCTATTTTCTTAATCAGGTTTTCTTAATCCTTACAGGATTAAGCTTACAACAGCGCAGTATATTTATCGTCGTCAGCAATATTATCAATATCATCATTACCCGATCAATATCATTGAAACAAATCTACTGCTGAACATAGACCCACCAAAAAAAAATACCACAAAACATGATCACAAGTCACTTGAATCCGTCTCTTAGCTGATTGTCGCTGTGGGGGGGGGTACACTCCGCTTGTCTGTACAAGTTATATGTATGTGTATATGAATTTAACTACTTAATTTACAAACCTCACCTTTATATTTTGTTTGACGAATATTTAATTTGAATAAAACTAGATTTTATCGTGTTTAGTTAATTTATTTTAACTTATTTTTAATTCCCGACGTGAATAATTCATCGAAGTTTGTTGCTATGATCACAGGGTGGGGGGGGCTGATATGTTTGACGTCCCAATTATTTTATTTATTTATTTTATTTTATTTGGAATACCAACAACATATAAACGTTACATGAATACAAATTGGACATTTCGACAAAGCCATTTACAGGTATTCGCATATGGTTATTTAAATGTAAAGAGGTCATGTAAACGATAACAATTAACAAAGTAAATCCCCGATGATGAGGAGTGTTTTCAAAATTTAAGAGTATTTAAGAATTTGTTGCACCCTCGGCGCGGGGGCCAAAGAACTCCAACGCAAACAATCTACTTACATTATGAGGCTTGGTACCGAATAGTTCTAATTCGCCTTTATTTATTGACAGTTTGTTAAAAAAGTTACTCGCACGAATAATAAATGAATTGCGGCGGTAGTTAGTATTGACTGTAAGAATAGCTAGTGGCTGAGTACGTCTAGTTGGTAATCTGCGCGGAACCCAGATGCTTACCTTTTCCAGCAAAGCAGGGCAATCAATGATGCCTCCGACAATTTTTAATAGATACGTAATATCGAAGAGTTGCCGTCTTTTTTCTAAAGGTAAGAAGTGGTATCTATTGCATCTCGTTTCATAACCATGGTCCAATTGCTTACACTTGTATTGTAGATATCTCAAGAACCTTTTTTGTATGGACTCAATACGGGAAGTATAGACGTTATATTGTGGATTCCAGACCACAGAGGCATACTCAAGGATACTGCGCACATAAGCACAATAAAGTACTTTAATCTGTTTAATAGATTTAAATTCATATGTAGACCTTATAATAAAACCAAGAGACTTGGAGGCCTTTTTCACTATGTAATCAATGTGCTTATCAAATAAGAGTTTAGAATCTTGAATGAGACCCAGGTCTTTCATAAATGTAACTTTGTTAAGTGACTTATTATTGATTTTATACTGATAATTTATAGGGTTAGATTTACGAGAAAAAGGTCATAGCAAAACACTTGGAAATATTCAAATCAAGCTTATTTTGAGTACAGTATTGCACAAAATTATTCAGTTCGGATTAATTAATCGGAAGGCGATCACAGTCACCAGAGCTGTTAGTGGCCATAAAGATCTTAGTGTCGTCTGCGTATGATAAGACTCTGGCATGTTTGAAACATAACGCAATGTCGTTAATGAATATAACAAAAAGCAAAGGCCCTAATAAAGAGCCTTGAGGTACGCCTGAAGTAATTGTTATCCACGCAGAAGTAAAACCATTTATCGCAACTGCCTGGGATCTATTACTGATGTAAAAAGAAAACCATCTAAATAAATTACCATGTATACCGGCTTTGTACAGTTTCTCAAGGAGCAGCAAGTGATCTATACGATCAAAAGCTTTACTAAAATCAGTAAAAATACAATCAACCTGTAGCCCTGAATTCATTTGTGAAGAGGTGTATTCATTAAAAACTAAAAGGTTTGATACAGTCGACCTCTGTCTTAAAAAGCCATGTTGTTCAGGAGTAAAAGAAGACTGAAGAGTAGCATATACCTGTCGGTAGACAACTGTTTCAAATATTTTGGCAAATATACACAACTTGGATATAGGCCTATAATTTTTTACATTAAAACGGTCGCCACTTTTATGTACGGGCGTTACGAATGCTGATTTTCAGGTCATTGGCACTATACCTTCTTTTAAAGAACGTTTGAAAATAATGCATAGAGGTGTAACCAAGCTATCTAGGCACTGCCTTATAAAAAAAGTGTTATACTATAATATCAGGCCCAGCGCCTTTATTCATGTTAGTACTTTTCAGCAGTATTTCAACCTTAATCGCATTTATATTTATGTCACCAATACTAAAATTTTCTTGGCACTGATTATCAAGATTAGGTGTACGGCTATTAGCGTCGGGAACGAGAAAAGTTGATTGAAAGTATTCTGAAAATAAATTACACACCGATTGTCCAGTATCACCCGACTGATCCTCATATCTCATAACAGATGGTAGTGCCTGGGATGGCCTTACAGCGACTTTGTGTAAGACCAAAAAAGCCGTGGGTTATTTATTACCGAGTTTTCTATTTTACTTATGTATGAATGATAACACACACTTTCTAATTTTACGGCTCTATCTCTCAGAAATGTGTTTGTTTCGTAATCGTACCGGTTACCATGTTTTTTATTTTTTTTAAATATTTGAATTTTTCTTTTAAAACCTTTTTTAAAGGCGGTGTTGTACCAAATAGGAAATAAGCTACCACAGATAATTTTGTGAGGTATAAATTCGTCACGAAGATCGGTTAGAATACGATAAAAATTACGAACATTGTCGTCAATAGAATCGCTCGATAATAAGACATTCCAATCTTTTTTCGACAAGTTTGAATTAATTTCCACATAATTTCCTTCTTTGTAATTGAAAACAATTCTCTTATTGACAGAAAACTAGGTACATCTAAATTTAATTCGATGCAAATTGATCTATGGTGTGAATCCTCTGAGACAAGCGGGTGGTCACTGGGTAGTACATTTACATGGTTATTGCAAAAGACAAGATCAAGAAGTAGCCTATCGTTGCTATTTCGTATGTTATTGTATTGGTCGAGATTACATTCATTAATTATGCCCAAAAAATTTGCCTGACTTTCGTCTAAAACACCTATTGGCCTTAATTGACCGCTTTCCATTAAGATCCAGCTGTTATTTGGCATATTAAAATCTCCCAAGACCATAAACAGGTCGTTGGGTGCAGAGTGAAAGTTATCCCCAAGCTTACTCGCGAAGTTATCGAGTTGTGTATTAATTGAGTAGCCGCCTCCCCTCCTTACATAAATAAATAGTGCAAATGTGTAATGCGAGAAGGCCGGCTTTGGTGCGGAGTATCACAGAGATCCAAATATGTTCGGCGAAGGAGTGCCAAGCCGGGCGGCCGGCGGCAGCGAGCTCGCGGCGCACGGCCACCAGCACGCTGCCGTCGTACCGCTGCCCGGTGGAGCGGTAGTCGCGGTCACGCCGCCACACTATATACCGTTCATCAAAAAGTTCACTATCACTAATGCCATCCAATAGCCAAGTCTCCGTTATTGATATGATATCAAAGCTGCTTAAGGCCACATTTCTCTTAAATAAGCTTGTTTTAGTGAGCAGTCCCCGAGAATTGTGATAAAAAATATTAATAACGAATTTTAGAGTACACAATCGTTATATTATATATAAAATTGGTTCGGATTTTGATCTGGGATTCACAACAATCACTACTGCAAAGCGGCATTGTTTTGCGAAAGCGAGTTGCAAGCAGAGCGATCAACAAAACGACGGCAAAAGCAAAGTTAAATAAGCGGGAACGGTAGTATCTCGTAGATATCGACAACACACAATAACATTGAGTAACATTTTAAAAGCAAAATATAAGGTAAAAATAATATGTTCCACCAGTACATGCGGGGTGAAGAGAAATTCTACCTCTAAGTACATGCAGTTACGATAGCTATTAACAGAAGTGCCATCACTAATGACCGCCGCGTACAGGTAGTGAGTAATAGCGATAAGCAAACAAAAGAGTCAGGGCTTCCCACGTCACGGGCGCAACAATCACAATATTTACGCGAGTTGAAATAATATAATCTTGAGCAATATGTTGTACAAGCAATTAGTAAATCGAAATATACGCACTTTATGAATTTTATGAAAATTTTAGAAGATCTTTTTTGATTTTATGCGGAACGTCGGTGATGTGTCGGATTTTCGGATCAGAATCTTGCAATGTTTTATCCACACATATTTGAAGATTTTTGTTTTCGCCAGATCCTTCGCCTTTTTAAGAAGAGATTTATTAAATAGCGTGAGATGGTCGTTGACACAAACATGGCCTTCATCGGCGTATCCCGGTTGAGAAATTTTGAGTTCCTTATGTTTACGCGCAGCTGCTACAAACTCTTCCTTGCAGTAACGATTGTTGAGCGCCAATATTATGGACTTTTGAGACTCTGCTTTAAGACTGGGGACTCGGGCAACATAATTGATGTCTTCTTTACGTTTAGAACACTGGATAACTTTACTGATATTGTCCACAATATCGTATAAGTTCTCGGACTTTTTCACTGGAATCCCTTTTATTTCCACATTATTGGCCCGCGCCCATTCTTCCTTATCCTGTAGATCTTCTTTGAACTTATTTAGGTCAGCTCCCAAAATGTGGATCAAATTGGTGTTCCTTAACTTGCGAAATCCTGGATTCCAGGGACTTCACTGTCACAGACAACTGGCTTGCAGTTTGGTGAGCAAATTCAACTGAGCTCTTAAGATTCGATATTTCAAGCTTAATGGTCTTTACATTTTCAATAAGTGACGCCAAGGGTACAAGTTGCTGCGTAATATTCAATAGGGTAGCCTGCATTCCTTCCAATCGCACTGCTATCCCAGGACTATTATAAGATGTTGATGCAGGAGACTGAGCATTTTTACAGTCAATACAGCTAAGTGTAGTGTGTGGATGGTGGTTTACCAGTGGATCTTCTTTCCACAAGTTTACGAAAATTGGTCTCTGTAATACCAGCACAGGCGAAGTCAAACTGGCGTTTACATAAATTACATAAAGGTCCGTCAGACACTTTATTACCACGACGTGCACAAGAGAACATTTCCGCTTAAGATTATTAAACTTAGTAAAGCGACCCCAGAGTTGACTGTCACTGGTGTCGGATTTATTGGTAAACAATCGAGCGCGTGCACCTTTTACCGCGTTCTGACGAGCACGTGTACCCTTTACCGCATTCTGACGATGACTAATGTCATAGTTAGCCCGATTGCCTTCAGTTTTTGAATATAAATTTTTGGTTAGTTGATTAAAACTACTTTTACGGATTTTATCGCGTTTATTTTTACTTTTTATTTACTTTTATTTTTAATTCCCGACGTCCCAAAATTCTGCCCGCAAAGATTGGAAAGTGTAAAGTGTTAGTGATACAGGTATAGTGCACACAATTTAGGGAGGATAGGAGGTGCTCTTCAAACTAGTTAAGACATACCATTTTGTTTTTTAACTCGAATTTTAGCAAAACCACTGAAGATACGAAATACACCTGGGCAAAAATCTTTCAGAAAAGAGACTTGTACTCGGGTGTGGGACGTATTGTAAGATGTTTCTTTAATTCGCATTTAGTTGTTCACTTACATCGACTTCCTGCATCTTTTACCAGGTCGTTACTTCATCTAGTGGGGGTTCGCTAAACACTATATTTGCCGGGACTCTTACTTCTTCATCGGTTGTCGATTCCTTGAACTATTTTTTTTTCAACGCCTAACTAAAGTGTAAAATGGTAGTAACAGTTTGAATTCAACTACAAGTGATGGAAAATTCTTGTCTCAGACATAAAATATAATTTATAATTATAAATTTCAAGGACCTAATAAAACACAGAGAGTCGGTGGATACAGAAGGCTCGGGACCATGTGGTGACGCCTTTATATAGAAGTGGACTTGTCATGGTGATGATATTTTAATCGTGATATTTTCTGCTTCACCTCAAATTTTTATTATTAATTGTTAGTAATATTTCAAATAATAATTTTATATATAGATAAAGCTTGCATATGCACACAAAATAAAAAAAACGTTAATCTTCTTGACAGAGTCTCCTTCTATAAGCTCTATTGACTTTAATGTGAGCTAAAACAACCAAATAATAATAGTAAGATTTTAGTATGTTAAATAAATAAATAACTAAAATTGAAGATAAATTTACATATGCCTCAAAAATATAAAATATAAATACCTATATTTTTTATAAAGGCGAAATACAAACACTTAACGCATTCTATTAGAACAAATTTACAGAAACCGCTAGAGTAAAGTTTTACAACTAGTGAGTTGGTTTATTACTACCGTATAGGCAATGTTACTCCCCGATGTAACAGTTTTATGAATAGTAAAAACTACAATGTCGAATACCTTAAAGTTTTGAGAAAACATTTTTAAATTATTATACGCTACCTAAATGGCACACATCGTGGCAGTATAACGCTAACGCATAACTATATGGTTGCAGTACGAATGGAGCTCGACCAGAGAAAAACCACGCTTTCACAGAATACTAGCGTAAAGTAGTAATTTAATGCTTCTGTGTTTTGCATGCTGATGTATAGATCCGAAGACTCTTTTTACTGGTAACAAGTCATTCTATCTCAGTCCACCGGAGGAACAACGCATCTGCATTTTGATTCTTAATCGAGTATAGATGCAGATGTACATGGGCAACAGCATCAACTTACTGACTGTGTGCTCGTTCGTTACCCTTATTCTATAAAAATACGTACGAAATAACAATAATTATCAAAATGATTTAATTAAAATCTTCATATAATTTTTACCGCATGCCCTATAATATAAGGATGACAAACTTAAGCACACGAACCACTTGATAGTAAATGGATGATGTGGGCCATGACATCTACATATATCCTTGATTTATATAGATAGATGATAGAGAACTACTAACGGCATGTGTCGTTACCAGAAGAAAAGTGTCCACGGTCACAGAATAAATAATAGTGCAAGTACCCCGTCTGTTATCACTTACCATAAACTTCATTATTATGCTGCTATTTTACGGTTGTAGGCGGTGCGAGCGTGGACCTTCCCACGGCAAGCGAACTCACTGGTACTGCAACTATACATGAGCTGCAGCGTGGTATTACTACGTCGTCTTCTTCATCAGGCAAATATACACGGGTCTCGGCCTCTAGGCACCGGAGGTGGATTGTCAATCGCGCCCCGCCGTTGGTCAGGGATTTTTGTATCTAACTGGTGTGATTATATAAAATTTTTAGTTTCGTTTATAATATCAGTTCAAAAGCTGCTAATTGAGGTGAGGTATCAACGGAACGAAATAGACTGCCAGATTTTATTTATTTATTATATATATTAATAAAAAAAATTCTACGTGCGGACTTAATGCCTTTGACATCGCACATCTGTGAATTTAAATGCTAAAATTTTTAAGTGGTCCCGATTTTCAGGTAGATAAGATAAAGGTCATTACACCCCCTAAGTTTGAAAAACTGAATACTCTTTGTAAAACTCATGACTTCATGTCATGGGTTTTAATGACTGAACTGAATGAATTTAGATAGTCTGCTTAATGAAAGTTTAGTAGTAACTGTGGTTATTGGTTTTGTTCAGAATGTCATAAAAATTTTAATTGTTAAAATTCAATAATAAGTACCTAATACGCATGACTTAAATTAAAATTAAAAAAATCCCATATTCATAATATGTCAAAGTTATTGTAGTAACAGACCAAGTAAATTCATATTAAAGTTGAGTTCATGTTTTTGGAGGTCGTGTTACAGTAATTTTAAACTAATGTATGTACTTGCCCTTCAAAAGTTAACATATTGTTTACTCAATATGAAAGCACAAATATCGTAAGATAGTCAACAACTACACAAAACGAAAACACATTTCCTTGGATAAACAAGAATCTCGTTAAACAATGTTCCATTATTCTTCAGAAAATAGATTAAAAGGTAAAAGCCGACTTCAAAGAATCAAAATAATAAAATTATTTATATATCTCGCTGTTAATTTCACAGTACGTAAGCGGGATAAGTTTGATTATTAATATTTATTAATTGCAATATTAAGTGCCGTCTATCAAGGAGAACTGAACGTTAGCCTCAGTTGTGTTTATACATAATTTTTATTGCTATTTCATATAAGATGTACTACAAGTATAAAGTTTAATAAATTATTATTATTATTTCCAAAAACAGCGGTATAGTTAGGAGTGGTGGATGACACATGACTCCAATAAAAAATACCACTTTAAAACTAAATATTTCGCAAATGGACTTCTATATCGAATAAAAATGTTTTTCCATACCCTCAATATTTTTCAAAAACCTATGTGATGATCCGCTCCCGCCATACGGTGGAATAGACGGGTAAAAAAAGCACCTGTATGGGACATACCCAAAATTAAATAATTATTTCATTTCAAAGTTTTGTAGGCGTGATTAATATCTATAATATAAACATAATAAATTAATTAATTAATAAATAAGCCTTTTCATTTCTTATTTTTCATGTAGTTTGTTTGCCAATCATCTCCTGATATTATGTTTTTGATGTCGTCGATCCATCTTCTACTTGGACTCCCTCGTTTACTTATACCCTTGGGCCTTTTCCATACCATGGCTCGATGCGTCCACCGAGCATCCTCTATTCTAGCTAGATATCTTGCCTATTTCCTCTCAATTTCATCGAGTGGATTAAGAAAACAATTAGGTGTGTTTTTTCTCTTTTCTTCTAGTTTTGTAAGCATAATTAATATCTTTAACTATGCCAAATTACAGCTTTTGTAGTACTTAGGGTATCTGAGTAAAACCACGGATGGACGGACTGACAGACATGGAGAAACTATATGGACTCCTTGTTGTTTAACTACGGAACCTTAAAAGAAACTTACGGTGACAGCTTCCAACTTTTTTGAAATCTGCTTAAAAAAAACAAAGCGAGCAGAGACCGATAGAAACAAGACAAGAGTTATCACTACGTTTAAAATGTCTGACGTTTAATAGTTAATATTTCAGAATAATTCAATTACATACAATTGCTACATTTGACGTAACTAATAAAACTGTTAGTGTTTTCAAGGAAGAAAACTAGTAGAAAACAGCATGCACTAGAACAGCGCAGCCGACTAGTTGCTATAAACTCTGTAAGAAGATGGCTGTAATAGTGATGATGATGATATTAATATATTAAATCTATAATTTATTTCTAAGACCCAGTTTGTCAATTAGAAGGGGTTTATTGGATGATTTGGAATTTTCGCCTCATCATTATTATTAAAGTAGATAGTAAATAGATAGTGGAGGCATAAAAGATTCCACTCTATATCATCCGTAAAAGGCGACAGAGCGAAATTAAACTGTGGTTGGCAATATCTTGATAACAGCTCAAAATAATAAAAACTGTGATTGCCAAACTAACTAACCAAAACAAACGCCGGCTACGTGTTACAACTATAGTAAATAGTCCATGAGACAATATCTAGAGTTCTACGTTCATCAGTGGACTTTTAATAGGTTGCATTGTATTAATAATTTAATTAATACTTAATAGCAATTATAGAAGCTCTTTAAGTATTACGTCGTTTTTTAATTTTATATAATGCAATATTCATTTTAAACTCATCCTT